GGGTGTGGGTGTGGGTGTCGGTGTCGATGTGGGTGTGGGTGTGGTTGGCGTGTAGGTGTGGGTGTGGAGTGTGAGTGTGGCGTGTGGGCGTGTTAAGAGACCATCTACACCCACACCCACACCCACACCCACACAGACACTCACACCCACACCCACATACCCACACCCCCACCCCCACACCCCAACACCCACACCCACACCCACACCCACACCCTACGGGACCTTTTTGCCCGATTCAACAGAATCTTTTTTGGTATTTCCGAATATGTCTTATTTCATATAATTCCTTACTGAACTTCTCACTAACATGACAAACAACGCATAAATATAGAAGGTTCGAGCAGAGAAAAAAAAGATATAAAGATAAGCCCGTTATTCTACCATTCCTCCGTATAAAATAGCTGATAAACATAAATGTTTAGTCGATTTAAGAAACCGCTGAGACAGGTAATTTCAACTCCAACAACGGTGGACATATCTAAGTTTTTAAAATGTTTCTTCAGTCGTCTTCACCGTTGGGAAATTTCATAGAAGTGGTCTACTGCATTACTGGCTCTTTTCTTGCACTTAAGATTGATGTTAATATGACTGAAACTAGAAAACTTAGTTACTGGTATTGCAATGGTTGCCGGCGAAGCCTTTTCCATGGCGAGTTTCGTTTTAACTGCACAGTATGTAATAATTATGATTATTGTGAACAATGTGCAGCGACACTTGATCCACCTCATCCTCATCGAATGATTCGTGAACTAGCATACGGCTGTGAAGAAGGAAAGGAAACTGCTGTAATAGATATGGCCACTGGAATTCGGGTTGCAACAGCGTTGTACTCGGATCGTCATTGTATGGGTGTGCGAGACATTGATAGAGATAATCCCTCACTCTATACAGATTCGTATTCATGGTTAACATTCAAAACAGTGGGTGATCGATCAAAGAACTTTGGACATGGACTACGAGGGTTAATTGAACCTCGAGGATATCTTGGCATCTGTGCAGCTAATCGACCTGAGTGGATGATCACTGACTTTGCTTGTATGCTTCAGAGTATCATTACTGTGCCAATATATACTTTGTTTAACGATCGTGAAATTGCCTATGTTATCAATAACACACAAGTGTCGGTGATTGTTTGTGACAAGCAAAGGCTGCCAAGATTTATTGAGCTGTATCCACTATGTCCATCCCTTCATCATATTGTGTGCATGGATTCTATTCCCGATACAATATCTAGTAAGTCTATAGTGTGACGCCAAAAGCGGACCTACTTATGTTTCAAATTGTCTCGTACGTAAAACGTTCAATAATAGATCACTTCATAACAGTTTTCAGAAAACCATTCGCTCCCTGACCTTTTAAGATTCGAAATAAATTAGAATAGTTCAATACAATTGTTCGATATGATTGTCGGAAGGACATCGTGAGATTGAGAAACTTCATATTTTCAGAATTTAGTCCTTACTGGTAATTTGAGTCAATAGAATGAGTAGTGACATCGTCTTAGTCTATAGAATACTGGTAATGCGATGTATTTTCGACTTCCGTGTTCTCTTTCAGAATTTAGTAAATATTCTTCTGCAGTATATCAACACTAAGTTATTTCTCCGAAACAGATGGTTCTCTCAAGCATCTCTTTGAAATAGTTATAAACACTTTTTGTGACAAGAATGAATAGAAGTTCTAGCTGAAAACGCTTCTGGTATCTTCCCAATGTTATTCAATGCTCGCTTTGTAGATTGATATATTGAGTTGGATTGATTTCGAAATAGCAATAGATGCGAAGCTCTTGCATGGTTCATATTTCATAAGTGAACACTTTATGAACTAGTGGACGTTACAAGTATTTTTGTTTATGTTTTGAATACAACACTATCGGTATTATTTTATTAGGTACAACACACAATGGACTATCAATTCACTTTATGGAGGACATCGAAAAATATGGCTCAATCAAACAGTATGACTATGTCACCATTGGGCCTGATGATTGTCTCACCATCGTATATACAAGTGGAAGCACAGGTTTTCCTAAGGGCGCAATAATGTCAGAAAGTACTTTTCGATCTGCGTTTCCACAATGGTGTCTGTCATCTTCTATTGATCAAATTACGTTTTCCTATCGGCCACTGGCATGGGTAACTGACCGTGATGCCATCATTGCAACTTTCTTCAACGGAGGACGTACTGGGTTCTCTACTGGAGATCCTTCTCGGCTTATGGAAGAACTAGCTCTTGTCAGACCTTCATTTTTTGGTGGTCCTCCAAGTATTTGGAATAAAATCTACACGGAATTCAAAACAGCTCTGTCGCTTATCACTCTCTCTCATTCACCCGAAGTCATAAAAACAGAAGAAGAACACCTTCTACAACAATTCTCCAAACTCATTCCAAACCGATGCAAAACAATCTCTATCGGTGGCGCCAAGGCTAGTCCAGTAATATTAAACTTTATGAAACGATGTTTTACACATTGTATGGTAATTGAATCCTATGGAATAAGTGAATGTGGTAGTATCACCTACGACAACGATATTGGAATCGCACTTCAGTATCGCCTAGAATTTGTTCCAGACATGGGCTACATTCTTGATGACAAACCATTTCCACGAGGAGAACTTTTGGTAAACCCCACATATGTTTTCTGGATACATCAACAACCCAGAAGAAACTTACGCTGCTCTCACAGAAGATGGCTTCTTTCGAACTGGTGATGTTGTCGAATTACGTACCCGTCACAATGTTCTACCTAATTTACATGTCGTCGATCGTAAGAAAAACTTCTTCAAACTCGCACAAGGACAATTTGTATCACCCGAGTTTCTTGAAGGCATCTACATTCAAAGTCCTTTCGTCCATCAGATCTACATTCATGGTGATCTATTAGCAGATTCTGTCACTGCTGTCATTGTCCTCAACCAAGCATATGCACAAACATTTAGTCTCAACCATAACTTGACTCCACTCGACATGAACAATCCTGATCCACTCTTTTATGGTGCGCTTCTACAAGATCTTCGTTCAATCGCTGAAAAAGAATCACTTCGAAAACATGAAATTCCATCAAGAATAATCATTGATTTTCAACCATTCACATATGAAAATGGTCTTCTCACTTCTTCCATGAAACCTTGTCGACATAAACTAGCTGCACATTATGCTGATCGAATCAAAACAACATTGAACACTATTGAACAACAACTAAAAACGATCATCGAAACAGCAACAGGACAATCGATGTCAACAGACAAAGAAGACAATCTCTTTTTGGCTAATGGTGGTGATTCAGGGTGTGGGTGTGGGTATGGGTGTGGGTGTGGGTGTGGG